AATATCGATTTTATATCTACATTAGCATTCTTTATCATTTATGATGCCTAGATATGTTTTAAAATGCAATTTAAAGCATTTTTGGTTTCAATCATAGTAGGCTATTTTCAAAAAAATATCGATTTTATATCTATATTAGAATTCTTTATCATTTATAATACCTAGATATGTTTTAAAACACAATTTAAAGTATTTTTGGTTTCGATCATAGTTGGCTATTTTCAAAAAAATATCGATTTTATATCTATATTAGAATTCTTTATCATTTATAATACCTAGATATGTTTTAAAATGCAATTTAAAGTATTTTTGGTTTCGATCATAGTAGGCTATTTTCAAAAAAATATCGATTTTATATCTACATTAGCATTCTTTATCATTTATGATGCCTAGATATGTTTTAAAATGCAATTTAAAGCATTTTTGGTTTCAATCATAGTAGGCTATTATCAAAAAAATATCGATTTTATATCAATATTAGCATTCTTAATCATTTATAATACCTAGATATGTTTTAAAATGCAATTTAAAGCATTTTTCGTTTGGATCATAGTAGGCTATTTTCAAAAAAATATCGATTTTATATCTAGATTAGCATTCTTAATCATTTATAATACCTAAATATGTTTTAAAATGCAATTTAAAACATTTTTGGTTTCGAACATAGCAGGCTATTTTCAAAAAAATATCGATTTAAACCTATATTAGCATGCTCTATCATTTATAATACCTAGATATGTTTTAAAATGCAATTTAAAGCATTTTTCGTTTCGATCATAGTAGGCTATTTTCAAAAAAAATATCGATTTTATATCTAGATTAGCATTCTTTATCATTTATAATACCTAGATATGTTTTAAAATGAAATTTTAAGCATTTTTGGTTTCAATCATAGTAGGCTATTTAAAAAAAAATATCGATTTTATATCAATATTAGCATTCTTAATCATTTACAATACCTAGATATGTTTTAAAATGCAATTTAAAGCATTTTTGGTTTCGATCATAGTAGGCTATTTTCAAAAAAATATCGATTTTATATCTATATTAGCATTCTTTATCATTTACAATACCTAGATATGTTTTAAAATGCAATTTAAAGCATTTTTGGTTTCGATCATAGTTGGCTATTTTCAAAAAAATATCGATTTTATATCTATATTAGAATTCTTTATCATTTACAATACCTAGATATGTTTTAAAATGCAATTTAAAGCATTTTTGGTTTCGATCATAGTAGGCTATTTTCAAAAAAATATCGATTTTATATCTAGATTAGCATTCTTTATCATTTATAATACCTAGATATGTTTTAAAATGAAATTTTAAGCATTTTTGGTTTCAATCATAGCAGGCTATTTTCAAAAAAATATCGATTTTATATCTAGATTAGCATTCTTTATCATTTATAATACCTAGATATGTTTTAAAACGCAATTTTAAGTATTTTTGGTTTCGATCATAGTTGGCTATTTTCAAAAAAATATCGATTTTATATCTATATTAGAATTCTTTATCATTTATAATACCTAGATATGTTTTAAAATGCAATTTAAAACATTTTTCGTTTGGATCATAGTAGGCTATTTTCAAAAAAATATCGATTTTATATCTAGAATAGCATTCTTAATCATTTACAATACCTAGATATGTTTTAAAATGCAATTTTAAGCATTTTTGGTTTCGATCATAGTAGGCTATTTTCAAAAAAATATCGATTTTATATCAATATTAGCATTCTTTATCATTTATAATACCTAGATATGTTTTAAAATGCAATTTAAAGCATTTTTGGTTTCGATCATAGTAAGCTATTTTCAAAAGAATATCGATTTTATATCTACATTAGCATTCTTAATCATTTATAATACCTAGATATGTTTTAAAATGCAATTTAAAGCATTTTTCGTTTCGATCATAGTAGGCTATTTTCAAAAAAATATCGATTTTATATCTTTATTAGAATTCTTTATTATTTATAATACCTAGATGTTTTAAAATGCAATTTTGAAAACATTTGTATGGCACTGAAGCACAATATTCATTCATAAAACCTTACAACAGTCAAAATTCATGAAATCGTCTATTTATTCAAACATTTAGAGCATTACAACAGTCAAAATTCTACACATTTTCAAAGCCTTACAACAGCAAACACATTGAAAGTTCTTTAGAGCCATACAATAGTCAAATTTGACTACACTTCAGAGCCATTCAAATGGTTTAGGAACGGTGTTGAATGGTTTTGGAATCAAAATTTTGCATTTTCGTTAAAACCATCAATACTTGCATCCTGAAAGTCTCAAAATATCTGTAAATTCATAAAATAATAAGGAACACAAAAGGGATAATTTCTAGTGTCTAGAATAATGTTTATTAACATAAATGCTAATGAATATTAATTTAATAGCTCCAATTTATTCATAAAGTCGTAGTAATTCGCAGAGCAAGAAAATGTCGACTTCAAAGGTTGTTCCTTAACCCTTTCCAGCTGAATATTGTCTGTAAACGATGTAAAAATAAAAACATTTTAAATATATCGCTAATTTAATTAGAATCTCATTATGAAATGGCGAGAATTTAATCAGTGAGGGCAAGTAAAGCAACATCATTAACAATCCTTATTGTTAATTTCAATTTAAACGAATAATTGTTGCGGTATTCGGGTTTTAATTTCTCATCATCCAATAAATATTTGAGAGACTCAATCACATTATAATAATTACCTTTCAGCCAACAGTTCCTCATCCGTTAATAATTTTTCAATTTATTGATTTAATGGATTCTCTGTTTAAATGAAATTAATAAAAATAAACATTTTAAATGATTAAATTATAGCATTTTAGTTTACTATGTATGGCAACATTAATCAGTAAAGTTATGCTGTTTTCATGTTCCATATTTTTTGGAATCAACGTATGTTAAAATGTTTTTCCCATCATAGCTTTAATCTAAGAGATTGATAATTTCAAAAGATATAGTTCAACTCACCTTAAACTTGACTAGATGCTACTCGATGAATGTTAAGTTCTTCATATTGAGGCTGTAAAGAGAAACGGAAGAAAGATTTAATAGACTTTTACTCCTTCATTCTATGCAAAAATTGTTAAAATTCGATTTTATAAAAATTTAATCAGAAAATATTGATGATTGAATCATATTCGCTCGTTTTTCGAGTAAATCAGCGCGTATGTTAAGTAATATAAAACATCATGAATCAAGAGTTAAGTTGATCAAAAAAATCATGTAAAATTTACCATTATTCTCTGATTGATGTTCCTTGCTTTTGTGTAGATCTAAAGCTCAATCCATTCTGTGAGAAGAGAACAAAATTTAATAAGATTAGTTTCTTTTGTCTATGTTGGGGGTTAAATTGACAAGCTTTTTAAGGCATAAAGAGTCAGAATAGATAGTCCACATGGGTTTATAATTAACCACAATTGTTCAGACAGGGATAACTGATATTAGTCAAAATTGGTTCATCATGTAAACTAGTTGAATGTCTTGTGCATGTTAAGGAATAATGTTCTTACCTTTTTTGAACTTGCGAATTGACATGATTAGAAGCACGAATATCTGTGAAAAGAAAGAATAGCTTGTTAAGAAACTCAATACTTCAAAGATCTTTCGTATTAAATATATTATAAAATTTTCAGCAAGAACCAGTCTTCATGGATATCAGACTGGGGCGGTAAAGCTCATCATTATAAATATCGAATTTCTAAGGAATGTAAACTTTATTTAAAATAGCCAAGACTTTCATAAAATGACTTACTTTACGTACAAATTTGAGATCGTTAAATTTCTCAATTTTTTTGATTACAAGAAGTTTTAGAGGTGAAATTTTAGTACTAATTGTGAACATTCTCAATATCCTCAAAACGAGAGAAACCGTAATATAATAGTTTTAATAAATAGATCAATTTCTTACCTTAACGTTAGTTCAACTGCAATTGACATGATTAGAAACTTGAATATCTGAGAAAAAGACAGAATAAAATGACTTGTTAGGAAACTCAATACACAAAGAGCAAGAATATTAGATATAATATAGAATTGTATCAGTAGGAACCAGTCTTCATAGATTTTTATCTCAGACTGGGGCGGTAGAGCTCATCATTATAAATAATATTGAATGATCAAATTTCTCGTTTTATTTTTACCTTATTCTATTTCCATTCCTTTTATTCAGGCATTCACAAGCTTCTATTGCAGAAGAATTGACCTATGAATATAAAGATATCATTATTAAGTGCTATTCAATCGAATAATGCTGTTTCAGTGAATTTATATATTTTATTAAAGCAATTATCAGAAGCAGAACTGATCATCAGTTTGTATCAGATGAGATGAACCATTTGTAAGTAATTATCATCATTTTAATTGCTTTAAATTAGTTTATTTAAATAGTTGTGCACATGCTTACCTATTCAGAATGCTCGAAAGTAGGGTTAAATGCCGGTATGCTGCATGCTTGATTTTTCATCATCCAGAAGATCCAGTAAACGCGTTTCTATAAAGATAAATTTCGGGTTATGAATGAAATTAGCTTAAAAATGCTAGAAATTAGTTATGCTTTATAATCAGGAAGACCAATCATAGATTCTTCAAAGAAATTCTGATTATAATGCTTGATTAATCATCATAAAGTGTACAACTCATTTGTTTATTTTAATATTTTATTGATGCTTACCAAAACGTGTTACTTTTAAAACTTAATTTTTCCGATTATTTTCCATTATTACTGCTGAATTCTCATTCACAGCTTGTAGATATAGTCAGCTAGTATCCATTTTGATGATAAGTTAATAAAATTAACACGTTTTAAATCTATTATTAGACTAGTTTTAAAAGTGATCTTCACTCTTCGAAGTTTAGAATTGAAAGACCGATTTTGGAAAAAGGCTTCAACATCACAATGTTCAAGTGATGAAAAATGTGATAATTTTAAAATTATTTCGACTGTTATTCTTTTAGTGCGTTTTTCTCAGTCAAAAGTTCTTCAATTTTCTTGTAAAATAGCTTAAAAATATGATTTATTGTACATTTAGATGCTTTTTAATACGTAATTGATAACATAATTGACTTGGCTTGAATTAAAGACTTGATAGAATGAGAAATCTGATGAATAATAATTTTAACAAGAAAAACGAGCTCAAAAAGGGGTGTTGAACTATTTTTGAATAAATTATGGCAGTTAATCTCTAGTCATCATCTTCATCCATTTCTAGCTCTCTTTGTGTAATTAATTTAGTCAACTTAGCTTTCAGTTGATGATCTTCTTCGAGATTCTCCACAGCAACATGCCGTTTATTACTGCATCCCATATATGGACAACGAATTCGCTTATTCATATTGATTGCTTCTAAAATAGTCTTCTTCTCATAAATATGACCACAAAGGGTATTTTTGACTGGATTTTGAATGTATTGCTTGCTAATTGGATCTATATAAAGCTGTGTCTCTTGCACCATCATGTCAGCATCAATCATTGTAACATTTGAAGTACTTGGTTCCTCTGCTGAGTCCATGACAACAACCTTATCGATTTCATCCCTAAATTTCTTGTATTTCGGCAGTTCTTCGGAATTTGATGCCTTCTTCTTTAGTTCCGAATGAGCATATTTGTATTCCTTATCAAAATTATCGATTGAAGTACATTTGAAGTTCCTTATCATGTCTAGCTCCTCATTAGCAGACTGTTCAATCTCACACAACTTCATGAACTGTGCCTTAAACTGTCCTTTAATTGCTGGATCGCTGAATGTTTCTAAAAGTTGAAAACAATGATGATTTTTGAGGAATTTTAAGTGATTTCATGAGATATTTACCTTCATTTCCATCGCTTGCACCGAGTTTGAATGCATTCATGTATGACTTTTCAAGTTTCTGGATTGTATGGATGAATGAGTACATCGTTAAGTCTTAATTATGCTAAATACGATTTGATCAACAGAAAAATTCAAAAAATGTAAACAAAAATTTTAGTTTTCAGCCCCTTGAATTTTTATGGAGCGGGGGGAAATAGTTTTACCCAAAATATTGGGCTATAACTTCAAAATTGCAGCTAATTATTCGATGAAAACCTATCAGAAGTTTCTATATTAATGCTCATCAGACACTGGAATTAAGTCATTTTTATACAATGTCACTCGAAAAATTTCACGTCAGTTGTTGTTCCCCTGTTTGAGGTTAAATCTCTCTTATTTACATTCAGAAAGTATGAAATATTAAATTCATTTTGTTTAATTAAACGAAGCAAGACAGATAGAGTTGAGCATGCTTTTGTTCTGTCCTATGTGCTCCAATTTACTTCTCGTTGAACATTCATCAACTTGTTTACGTTTGTCGTGCTCTACGTGTAAGTAAATCAATTGTTTTGATTTCATCAGATTTCATAATCAACTGTAACTCAATCGCATCCGCAGGTCCATACATTTCGAGGATTAAGAAGCGTATTTCGGAACGAGTCTATCCAAAGTTGAAGGAAGTTGATCATGTTATGGGCGGTGCTGAAGCCTGGAAGAATGTAGATTCAACAGATGCTGTATGTCCTGCTTGTGCTCACAATCGAGCATATTTCATGCAAATGCAAATTAGAAGTGCTGATGAACCTATGACAACGTTCTATAAATGCTGTAATCAAACTTGTGGACATAATTGGAGAGACTAAATGCGACTTATAAGAAATCTATTAAATTCAACTAAAATGAAGACTCGAAAGATTAAGAATGTATTCGATGCTGCACTTCCTGAAAGTGTCGTGACAGCATCAAAGTTATTGAAGAAAGGCAATGTAATTGGAATTCCGACAGATACAATTTATGGACTAGCTTGTTCAGCAAATAATCGTGAAGCTATTAAGAAGTTGTATGATATTAAAGGAAGGAACGAAGAGAAGCCAGTGGCAATATGTGTCAGTGACTTTATAGAACTTAAACGTTATGGTAATGCTAATCATTTAAGTGATGAACTTTTAGAAAAATTATTGCCTGGACCAGTCACGATTGTGCTTAATAAGAGTGAGCACCTGAACAATCCATACTTAAATCCAGGCACAGTAAAAATAGGAATTCGAATACCAGACTTTAATTTCATTAGGGATGTATGCAGAGAGTTTTCTCAGCCAATAGCACTAACGTCAGCTAATAAGAGCAGTGAAAGAAGTTCCTTGAATATTGAGGAATTTAATCATCTATGGAAAAGCTTAGGAGGTATCTTCAATGGCGGTAGCTTAAGTATTGCTGAGGAAAATAGGAAAGGATCAACAGTTATTGATCTGTCGGAACCTAATGAGTATAAAGTCATAAGACAAGGAATCGCGTATGAGGAAACAATTAAATCTATTGAAGAATATGGATTTAGAGAAGTTCTATAACATTTATTTCATTTTTTCTTTTTAAATATCACTAAGTCTATGTTTTAAGGAGAACATTTCATAATTATTAAAATAATGTTATTTGATTTAAATTGAATTAAATATTGTTTAATTGGCAGAATATCCAATAATGCTCGAGTTGTTGTTCATTTTACTTCATTTCTTTCAGTCTAAACAATCAGCACTTCAATCCCATGTTTTAAAACTATTAATTAAACTAGCTTCCATTCACCGAAAAATTTCATCCTAAAAAGTCGATTATTTTAACGAAAATTTTGAATTTGAACTTAAAACGAACTTTTCACTTTTGAATATTATGTAAAATTTTCATAAAAATTCGAATTCAAAATTTTAAAGACCATTAAATAACCGACATACTGTTAGTAATTTAAGTACCAAAATAAATTAGATATGGGCAATTCTACGAAAAGGTTTCATGAAAATAATCCGTGTCAATTGCATGAAATTTTTTAATTATTTTATTTTCACTTGTGCATAGTTTTTCAAAAATCTAATTCTCATTTTCTTTTCTATTGGTTAAACTGTGAATTATGATTACATCTGCACTCAAATTACTTAGCTATGGATTGAGAAATTCATGGTTTTAATTTTAATATTTGGTAGTTTTTTTTGGAATTGTCTCCAAATTACTCTGTTTCACTTATGAAATTTTTCGTACAATCCAAATTGCAGCTTAATTAAGGCTTCCACAAATATGATTTTGACATCGTTTTGAAGCTTTTACTTTAAGCTATAACTTTGTATACTTAGTATTACTGGAAATTTTACCACCTTAAAGATATTAATGAAAACATTTTGGAAATTTGGGCGAAAAAATTCATGTGAAACAGAGTAATTTTTCGTAGAATGTAAATAATTCTTTAATTAACCATTTTTAATATGTTTGGGTGAGAAAATTATGTAGATATCGGTAAAATCTACTATTAAATACATGAAACATGGGGAGTAATGCAATTGATAAAGAGAAATATAGATTTGGAGACAAATTTGTAAAAAAAATCATTCGTAGAATCGCCCATATGTGATTAAAATTTTAAGCGAGTCAATGACCTTTAAAATTGGGCAATTCCACGGATGAGTGGAATTCAAGAAAAATGAATTGCAATTCTTCTTCTACTTGAAAATTTAAATTTTATAAATACGTTAAATTTTTTTAATAAAAATTTCATCTTTCTTTAAAATTTAATCACAATTCGTCGTTCTTTACTTATTTTAACAAATTTTGTTGTTTATACAATATTAACTTGATATTTTTGACAAAAAAATGTCCACTATAAGATCAATTAAATACAGGGAAAGCTTGAAACAACCAGAAAATCGCGAAAAGTATGAACAATATCTACTGAGAAGAAAAAAGAACAACCAGAATTACATCCATAAGCAACTAATGAACAAAAAGACAGCAAAAGTATTCATAAGGAAGCAGCAGCAACGAACAAAGAAATGTAGAGACAGAAAAATCGAAAAATTCTAAAGGACCAATAGAATCGGCATTTCCATCCATTTCCGCTCGTTCAAAAGCAGTTATTAAGGCACAGAAATCACTTCCAATGGTCTTAAATAAAAGAAAAGAAGTCGTAGGCATTATCGCTGAACGTAATGGCATAACAGAAATGAAATCAAAAGTTTTAAGCATAAAACCTCGCAGAGGATTCCCTGAAATTGAAGTAATTGTGCTTATTTCTGCTCTAAAATTGAATCGAAAAATAACTTCTATCAAGCTGAATAAATTCTTGATTTAAAATAAAATTTAACGTATTATTGAATTTTGAATTTTTCAAAACTATTGATAAGACGCTTTCTGTTGTACTATTACAAAAAATATTGTCAAATTTTTGATTTTTCTCTTAATTAAGCAATACTAATGTGAATTTAAATATGGAGAATGATTAAATTTGATAAAATGCACAGGATATTAAGATTGAATAGACGTCTAGATGTTTAGAAAGTATAAAAATTCGGCTCACAAAATAAAAATTCCACTTTTTGTAATAGTACAACGCTCAGAAAAAGTCGAATATTTCATTAATTTAAGCATTTAGAAGGACGCAAAACAACCATAACGGAAGAATTTACCGTTTTACATAAGTTTATTCAGTCATTGAAACGTCTTTATTGCTGAATATTGAGAAAAATTGATTTAAAGACGAATTTTTTGAAAAAATCAATCCGTGGAATTGCCCAATTGTAAATAAACAAGTTTTCTGAAGTAGAATCAAGGCGTCCCATATATCCCAAAAATGTTCAAAATAATCCCTGAGCTTATATACATTAGAATTGAGATATCCCATCATATCCTGAAATTACACGTCCAATGCACTAAGGATACGTTGAGATATATTTATTATCGTGCATACATGCTCAGGAATTTTTTGAATTTTTTTGGGATATGTGGGATAGTTTGCACGCCTTGAGTAGAATGAAGTGAATGCATTATTCTGTCATTAAGCTACAGATTTTTAATAAAATAAACTTTTTAGCCTTCTTAAAATTGAAAAGAAGGATATCAGGTAGAAGGATTTCTTCAACTACTAAGGGATTCATTTTTGCCAAATTTAATGGGCTGTCTTACAGACTCAGAACTTAACATTCTCCATCTCGATGGTGGCCAAACTATATATGTAGCTTTGCTTGTTAATAATCCTAATGGAACTGGTCCAAACGTATTACTATCTAATGAATTGTCGACATGATCACCCTCAATCCAAAAATGCCCCTTTGGAACTTTGACATACTTTTCTTTATAGCCTATCGTGTGAATTGTATCTCCTTCACGGCCAATCACTCTTTTGATAATCCTTTGTTGTGCATCTTTTGGTGATATAAGACAAACAATTTCTCCTCTTGATACTGTATAATCTTTAGCCTTTAATTTATTTAAGAACACATAATCCATCTCGTCCGACAAGGGATTCAATGTAGGCTGCATACTAAAATGATGAGGAATAGATTAATTTACAGTTAAACTTTATTTTTTTGATTCACTTGATGTTCTATAAACTTCTTTATCCTAAACAACACGACTTCTTCTTATTCTGGATATATTTTTGGAACTTACCTAGAATATGAAAATTAGAAATTCTAATTTTGTAAATTAAACTAATTTTACGAGCATTTAATGCTGCTCACAACTTACCTCTGACCTTCGACTCGTGCTACATATCCTACATAATCAATAAATGTGATACCGACAGCTCCACCGTAAAAAATTGTTTTTAAAAGATTTTTTAACATTTTTTAAAATTAAAATTTATATAAACTTTGTTTTTAAGGGGGCTCATACATGCAGAGTTGAAAATATTCGGATTTTCTCAAAAAAAAATACTTGCACTAGTTTAACGTTTTTTGATGAATTTGAAAATTACTTGATCAAGTTGAAAGTAAAGTTAAACATATTCAAATACTAATAGACTTCGAATTAGGTGCAATATGAATCACAGCAGAAAGACTTGATACACTTCAAAAAATCAATCCCCTACTTTTTTTAATAGCCAATAATAGTTCTGTCACAGAACACGTATAGATCTACGAATAATCTCTCCAACGTCAGGCAAAAGTATATCAACACTTTCGGTCGATACCTCATTTTCAGGATATCTTGCTTTATAGAGTTTTAAAAGTTGGAATTTTTTTTTCCCTTCAAAACTTAACGGTTTTAGTAAATTTGTTGAATTCCGAATCAATTTATAAAAACTCAACTCATATCACGTTGGTCGCCTCCTAATTATTTTTCATATTGAAAAAATATATATACAACCGAGTTATTTGACTCTTAACAAGCAGTTCATATTGAACTAATTTTCACTTTTTCATATCAAAAAAAAAAAAAATAAGGTAATAATTGGCTCATTTACAAACAAACTTAAAGATTGCACATCCTTCATCAGCAACGAAATAAATTATGTCAAGAAGGAGATTGAAAAAGTCAAAAAGAACGATGAAGTTGAATGCCTAAAAACTACTCAAGCATATTCCCGTGATTTAAGAAGAATTTGTATAAGATTTATATATGAGAGTGACGCAGAGGAAGCACGTAACCAGAACAGTCATGCAGCTATCAAGAAAATTCTAACGCACCTAAGCATTTCATTGAATACGTCACAATACCCGCTTGAATCTTTTTACTTCCAATCGCGCAAGTTCTCTGCTGATCAGCTCATCCCTGAAATATCTTTATGTTGTATATTTGTGAACTCAACATTGGCCACAATTGTAAAAAATGGAATTATAAAATTCAACAAGATGCTTGAAGAGAATAAACAGCAGCTTCTAATAAGGTATAAAGTCAGCAATGATTGGTCTTATAATATTCGACAAATCTTGAATCCATGCAATGAGATGCGTAGATTTGAAATAATTGATCGAGTTTTTATCACAAATGACGGAATTAAAGTATATCACAGAGAAATAGACAGTTACAATCAGCCGGATAAAAAAACATCAATGACTCTGGTTAATTCAATAAGGAAACTTGACATGTTGCGTAAAACATACTTCGGTGATTATTTTAAAATGAGTTTCAATGATAGACAATTGATACGTACCAAATATAAAGAAGCTCCAGTAAATTTCAACGAGGAGGAAGTTATGCCGTCAGATGATGAATTTATGGATGCATCGGTAGTAGAAATTAACCAATGAAGTGTGGCCCTAAACTTATTATCTTCAAAAGCACCAGAAGAATCAAAACACTTCAAAAAGGAAGTTATTCTGGATGTTAATTCACTTGTTCCAAACACCACAACTTTATTCAGCCTAGAAGAAATTAAAGACAATATTAATAAAAAAGATATTCTTACCAATCATATTTTTGACTCTCCTTTTACAATGATGCTATGAAATATCAACACAATAAATGATCGGAAGCTGAAAAAATTAAGTGAATAATCAATTTAATAGAAGATAACGAGTTTATAGGGGCAGATATGTTTACAAAATCACAAATATCTAATAAAATCGACGTTATGATAATTATAGAAATGGGGAAAAAATACAACAAGTTTAATCCATACTTGCTTAAGAGGATTTAAGCTATTCAGTCTCTTAAGACCAAACAGAAAAGGAGGTGGAATTGGAATATATGCTAGAAATAATTTGAATGTACATATTGTTTATTCGGAATTAACTGATGATTTTGAAATACTCCACCTTGAAATAGTAAAAGATAACGATAAACCAAGAAATATTATAGGAATATATCGTCCACCATAGGAAAATTCGAACCATTTATGCTTGCTTTAGAGAAATTACTTATGAGAATGCGGTCATGCTAGGTAACTTTAATTTAAATACAAATATTAATTCGGGACCACTCAGCACCCACTCTAATGAAAACAATAATTTACTGGATAATTTTAATTATCGTATTTACAACCAAGCAGTTACAAGATTTAATAAAATTACAAAAAGACACTCAACTATCGATCACGTTATCACACAAAAAAGTCGTAATGATTTTCTGACTCTTACATCAAACAAAATAATTACTGAAGGATTCTCGGACCATCAAATAATTATTGCTAGAGTTTGGAAAAAATCAGGCAAACATTAGTTCAAAAATTCCTACAACAATTGAAAAAGTCAACAAAAGAAGGGTAATAGAGGAGCTAAAACAGAATTTTCACACAATACCTATTAATATTCATCCATCAAAAATTTTTCAGGAACATTTTCTTTCAATTGTTGATAATTCAACTAAATGTCATGAAATAAAAATTATAGATCCTGTTGTTTTGTTATGATAGAAACTATATTCGTCAAATGATAATTTCTCATTGCCACTGGATGTTGTAAAAAATTTGATGCTATGCTATTAAAATGAACAATCAGAAAACACAAAAATAGATAACTCAGAATTAAATAATTGAATTACTTAAAATACATACATCATTATCTTCAGCAACATAAATTTCCGATTCTGAATTTTCTTCTTGAATTTCTTCATAATAATCTTCCAAACACTCGAATGATTCGTATTCAAGTTCTTCCGACATGATTTTGCAATACACAATAAATATCACTTAGAAACTTATGAAAACACTGGATTTGTTGATGTTTTTAGTCATAAATTATCACTTTAAATAAAATATATTGTTTAGTAAAATATTTCAACCACGTGATGGAATTAACCGATTATTAAAATTTGAAATTCATAAAAAATCTCGTAAAAATTAATTTTCGGAAAAATAACATGTTCGTAAAAATGAGAGTTCGTAAAAATGAAGTTTCGAATTTTTGATAGAAGAAATAAAGTATATTTTAAAACTTCTTAAGGTTAAACTTCCTTCTCGAAAGCAAACTGCAAGTTTAAATCAATTTTCAAAAATTCCTATTAAAACGTGATTTGGTAAGGTGGTCCATTTTTGATTAATTACAGCATAAACTAGTTAAATAATTCCTCTATTTCCATGAACTTTTTGATTTAAGTTAGTGAATAATTGAAAAGAGTCCAAAATATTAAAAATGAACCAGTTGAAATGCTGAAAAATGATTGGATTTTTGCCAACTCACAAAAATTTAAATTCTAAAACTATGAATCTCAAGAGTTGACCACGGAAATTCACATTTCATGAATTGAACATAAAAAATTCACAGTTGAAGAATTGACGACAAAAAATTCACATTTTAAGAAATGAAGTCGAAAAATTCACATTTCAAGAATTGAAAATGAAAAATTCGCATTTCAAGAATTGAAGACGAAAAATTCACATTTTAAGAATTGAAAAATTTGCATTTTAAGAAATGAAGTCGAAAAATTCACATTTCAAGAATTGAAAATGAAAAATTCGCATTTCAAGAATTGAAGACGAAAAATTCACATTTCACGAATTAAAGATGAAAAATTCGCATTTCAAGAATTGAAGATGAAAAATTCACATTTTAAGAATTGAACATGAAAAATTCACATTTCAAGAATTGAACATAAAAAGTTCACATTTCAAGAATTGAAAAATTTGCATTTCAAGAATTGAAGACGAAAAATTCACATTTTAAGAATTGAACATGAAAAATTCACATTTCAAGAATTGAAAAATTTGCATTTCAAGAATTGAAGACGAAAAATTCACATTTTAAGAATTGAACATGAAAAATTCACATTTCAAGAATTGAAAAATTTGCATTTCAAGAATTGAAGACGAAAAACTCGCAATTTAAGAATTGAACATAAAAAATTCACAGTTGAAGAATTGACGACAAAAAGTTAACATTTCAAGAATTGAAAAATTTGCATTTTAAGAATTGACGACGAAAAATTCATATTTTAGGAATTGAAAAACGAGTCACAAAAATTGAAACTCAAACATTTCAAATTTTAAACTATCCCCATTTTACCCCTTACGTTAAGACAAATTGGAACGACCCCCACCCTTTATACACATGAAATAAAACTATCCCCCTCCCTTACGTTAAAAAAATCGGTCGACCTTCATCCCATTAATTAAATTAATAGCTTGAACAAGTGATCTTCCTACGAACCCATGAACACATTTTTTTCACTGACCTTATAAATCCAGGAGATTTAAGTGGAAGAGTTGGACATACACGGCTGCTTCTATATGTACTGCTCGATGTGACATACTGAAAAATAAACAAAATATGAATTATTAAGATTATTAAGATTCAAACACCGATTAAGATGAGAACAAATTCTGAACAGACGACTCCAATGAACCTTAGAAAGCAAACTATTACTGAATGAATACCATTCAGGATTCAGACGAAGACGAAAAACAAAAAACAATTGAAAGCTTTTAAATAAGGGATTTATTTCTTACCTTGCAGTCTTGGATTTTTGCCAAAACATTGTATTCCAGGAGTTCGCGTTTGAGTTTTGGACATTTAGCAAGAATCTTGCGTGTTTGAGCGTTTAAATTTTGACAGCCATAAAATTCATCCCAAACCTGAATCCATCTCGAAGTGCAGGATGAGTGTAATCCTAAAGGAACAAAAGAATAATAACATTAGTGTGAATAAGTATGGCATCTAATAAATAAATATAAGATGCAATGACTTACAGCTAGTTTCCTCAGACTTTGCCAGTTGTTGTATTCTTCGAGTCGCTTTTTAAAGTTTGGATGGCGCTCCAAGAATCGATTAATTTCTTGACGATAGGCATCAACGTCCTCGACCTCAAACTCAATGCTAAGGTAATTTAGGAAGTCTGTTTTAAGCGAGTACGATTCATTTACGAAATATGTCAAGAATCCCCGGTACAACTTTGTAGTTCTTGGATCAGGAAACTGGAAAAAGAGGAAAGAAATTTTGAAAAAAATTATCAAAACTGCTAGAATCAGAAATAGGGTTTGTAGAAAACAGCTGTTTTTTTAAAAAAAAAGTGTTTTCGGTTTTTGATTTTTAAAAACAGCTGTTTTCCTGTTTTTCTAGAATTCAAAATAAACTGAGTTTTCCTAAGTGTTTCTTTAAGATAATGAAACTTTTTGGTGGTTATAAGCAGTTAAGCATACATTTTAGAGCTTAGCATTAATATTTCTTAATTTTTTTGTTAATTAACTCAAAAAAATATAATGAAATATAAAAATGTAAAAAAAAATTTATACTTTTAAGTAACATTGCATTATTGTATTGTAAAAGTTCCATAAACTCTAATATTTTATTTGAAATATTCAAAAAATCTTTCTGAATAAAAAAATATCTTTTAAAATTTTTGATTATATTTTTGAACTTTAGTAAATGCTACAAAAGGTTCAACAAATTTAAAATTTCGATTGCAAAATTAATAATGATCAGGGTGGCGATTTAAATCATAAATCAAAATCAAAATCATTTTGCAATGATTTGAAAAATGATTTAAATCATTTTACCCAAGTGATTTATTTTTGATTTATGATTTAAATCATTTTGTATGAAAGATTTTTTTGTGATTTATGATTTAAATCATTTTGTATGAAAGATTTTTTTGTGATTTATGATTTAAATCATTTTGTATGAAAGATTTTTTTGTGATTTATGATTTAAATCATTTTGTATGAAAGATGTTTTTGTGATTTATGATTTAAATCATTTTGTATGAAAGATTTTTTTGTGATTTATGATTTAAATCATTTTGTATGAAAGATTTTTTTGTGATTTATGATTTAAATCATTTTGTATGAAAGATTTTTTTGTGATTTATGATTTAAATCATTTTGTATGAAAGATTTTTTTGTGATTTATGATTTAAATCATTTTGTATGAAAGATTTTTTTTGTGATTTATGATTTAAATCACATTGTATGGGGATTTTTTTTTTGGGATTTTAAATCACTTGAAGGTGAAAATTTGTTAAGAATTTTTCAGATGGTTATTACAAATCATTAATCATAAATCATGGATATCCTTTCTGGTATAGAAAAATGACAGCAACCATTGATTCCATGGTTTAGATCATGAATTTTCATTTTCTGTGTCTTGTTGCTTAAGTATGCAGATATTGGTAGAGCTGTACATGATAAAGCATGAATGGATCTGGCTCCATATGAGGAACTAGTCACTTCCAGTCCCTTTATAGCGTTTTTTCATAAGTTTTCATTGTCAAAGAGGTATACGTTTGTATTTCTTAGCCAGAGGTAAGATTAGACACTGGAACTGCCCAGTTCATTAACATCCCAAAAAATTTTTTTTGTTTTTTTTTTTTAATTAAGGAATCACATTCTGGAAGAAAATTTTTTATTGAGGAACCGACCGATTCCTTTAGTGCCTGAGGACTGAAAATGTGAAATATGAAGTCATTTAAGAATGAAGCACCACAGAAAATGAAGATTCATGAACTAAACCATGGAATCAATGGTTGCTGTCATTTTTCTATACCAGAAAGGATATCCATGATTTATGATTAATGATTTATAAAAACCATCTGAAAAATTCTTATCAAATTTTCACCTTCAAGTGATTTAAAATCCCAAAAAAATCCCCATACAATGTGATTTAAATCATAATTCACAAAAAAAAAATCATTCATACAAAATGATTTAAATCATAAATCACAAAAAAATCATTCATACAAAATGATTTAAATCATAAATCACAAAAAAATCTTTCATACAAAATGATTTAAATCATAAATCACAAAAAAATCTTTCATACAAAATGATTTAAATTATAAATCACAAAAAAATCTTTCATACAAAATGATTTAAATCATAAATCACATAAAAATCTTTCATACAAAATGATTTAAATCATAAATCACATAAAAATCTTTAATACAAAATGATTTAAATCATAAATCACAAAAAAATCATTCATACAAAATGATTAAAAATCATAAATCACATAAAAATCTTTAATACAAAATGATTTAAATCATAAATCACAAAAAAATCATTCATACAAAATGATTAAAAATCATAAATCAAAAATAAATCACTTGGGTAAAATGATTTAAATCAAAAATCATTTTTCAAATCATTTTTATATGAGATTTAAATCAAAAATCACAATTTGATTTGGGATTTTGATTTAAATCGCAAAAAACTCCCCCACCCTGATAATGATTAATCATAAATTTGACAATGATTTCAAACCTATTAAACATCCAAAAAATATTAAAATAGTAAATACATTTCAATTTGGAATGCTAGAAAAATATATTAAGTTCTTCAAAAAATTAAGAATTTTTTTTTCTGTAAATTATATGTAAAAATGAAAAACAGAAAACAGATCTGTTTTTGAGACCTGTTTTCTGTTAACAGATTTTTGTCGAAAAACAGCTGTTTTTCTGTTTTCTGTGAACAGGTTCCCCAAAACCCTGATTCAGAAATGAATTCTGGATATTTAATTGAAATGAACTCAACCCAAATCCTATATTAAGCCAGAACTTTCAGCTATTCAATTGCTTTCCTTGGACGAACTTAATAAATGTATGGCCTACTTACATTTGATCATGGTCGAAAGGCAAATCATTATAGTTGGTTGACGAAGTGATTCCACGATAACACGATGGAGAGCTTTTCACGACCGAGATTTGTTTTGATTTCATCCTTTTCTTGATCTTCATCTTTGATGATGACATTTGTTTCGAAGGCAAAGGTGTAAAAGCATTCTTTTTAGCCTGCATTTTGCTTTGCAGAATATTTGCCGACGATAACTTCTTCTGAGGCATTCTCTTTGTTGATGGCACCTTATTTTCGAACAATAAGCCTTTTGAAGGCAATGCTGCTAAAGAAACCATTGTGGTTGACATTTTGCTTCGCGAAATCTTTACCGACGATAACTTCTTTTGATGACACTTCAGTTGCTAGCATTCCAGTGGAAGTCTTAGTTGGTAAGGAAACCTTTGATGTCAACGTTTTGGTTTGCTGAATCTTTAAACAGGATGACGATTTCAGAGGCATTCTCGTTGATGATGGCACCATATTTGCAATTTTCCTTGTTGAATGCAAGGATCTCAAAGAAGTCTTGGTAGTCAATGCTTGCTGAAACTTTATAGAATCTTTACCTTTTGAAGGCAAAGCTGACAAAGAAGTCTTTGCAGTTGACATTTTGCTTCGCGAAATATTGGTACAGGAAACGTTTTTTGGATGAATTATTCTCGTTGATGCTGCCTTCGATGAATTCATCTTGATATTTGATACATTCGGTGACATCGTGTTTGCTGGAACCGTTGAATTATTAATTGTCGTTGAACTTTTGATTGGAAATATCTTGAGTGCTACGATGATTGTTGAATACTAAAGTAAATTTGTTTTTCAATGGCTACTGAAATCAAATTTTTAATTTTTTCGTATGATATTTCTTGCATGCTATGACTTTTACACTTTCGTTAAAATTCAAATTATTTTGCCGCATCGTTTCTTTGTTAATTTCGAGTGTATGTAAGTTAAGTTCGTGATAGCTTAATTAATTAATTTCTAAGCAAATTAATAAGAATACATTAGTGAAAAGTCGTCAGAATGTTTGACATGATGATGAACAATCAATCACCAAAGTTGATCAAAAATCCAATGATATCGCAAATGAAGCTCGAATAACAGGAAATGATAGTTTTCTAGTCAAGAACTGACTGATTGCTTTAAATCATTACAATAGATCGATTTCCTTTACTTTCTTTATAAAGTTGAATTCCTAATGAAAAAATCAATAGAAGTAAAAACTGCACCTGCAGTTTTTAAAACCTATAACAAATGTATATAGAGATTAAAATCTCGAATTGCAGAAAATTAATCCTCGGATTTAACTTTAAGCTTTTTGCTGGATTAACCAATTTTGATAATTTAAGATATCCTTAGAATTTCTCACAAATCTTGTTAATTTTAAAAAGTAAAATAATAATAACCAGCAAGATTTTACAAAATAATTTAAGAATTCTTTTTAACTTACAGTTTTCTTTTCAAAATTATAAATGTTAAAAATAAGTGTTCTCACATGCCCATTGTAATTTACAAAAATTTGAAAATTTTTGAATTTTAAATAGATTTTATGATCATTCGAATGCATCTCTAATAAAGCTGCGATAAAATCTATTATTTGAATTAAAAATTAAAGTTCTTGATATTTTATAAAACAAAGGTTTTAAAAATTTTTACAAAAGAATAATCAAATTTTTACGTAAAATTTTAAATCATTTTTGATTTGAAAGGTTAAAAGATAATCTTTATGAAAATTTACAAAAGCTTCAATTGTAAAGTTAAAAAGTTCAGCAAGACAATAAAAGGAAATATTGATACATTTCACAATGATTCAGATTTGAAAAAAATGTTCAAATAATCCTTGTGCATAATATTTTTCAGACACATTGAAGTAATGAAATTTTTTATTGATATTCTCTAGTTTAGGACTTTTAATGCCTTTAATCTTACTTGATTATTGATTCCTCAAAATATTAAGTCATGAAATTGAGGATAAATAAGTTTTTTTTTACAAATTTCACAAATGTTTATCAAAAAATTTGGCGCACGATAGTAATTTGTATGAAAAATTAACTAATTTTCAATCGCAAATATCTCGCTTCGGGCATATTTGGGCATGTACACATTAATATGGAAGGTTAATTAGACTTTGTTCTTTATATTTAAATAGGTTTGGTAGAAGCGGAAAGACGCGAATTTAACTTATGAGTGTTTAAAGTCTTGGTAAATTTCAAAAAAATTAATCATGTATATTCGCCCAATTAATAGGTTTTCTTTTGGTTTCTTCACACAAACACAAAGTACTAAGCTTAATTAAGCTGGTTATCAGGATTAAAACAAGAAATTTGAAGTGGAAAGGAGAAAAAATTTAAGAAAAATATTTGTTGTCATTTTGTAAACAAATTTATTGGCATCTTAAAATCGAATTTTTGTGAATTAGACAACAAATTGGAATGTGATATTTTTACAGAACATAAAACACATCATGTTCTTTAATCTGGCATTTAAAACATATAGTTTAATTAACTTGTTATTTTTGAATTTTTGAACATTTTTTTCAAATCTGAATCATTGTGCATTTGGAAAAACTTTGTCTTTCTGGCTTAGTTTTCAATTCAAAAATTTTTTTAATGACTAATGCACCTGATTGGAATTGAAATCTCTTATTTTGAACATGTTAAACGCAATTTTATACCCTAGTTTCTGAACTGGATCAACAACTTTCTAATTTGAAAGTTTTGTGTTTTCCTGATGTTCGAAACCTCCTTGACATAGTAAGCACCTAAAATTGGACCTGGAAGTAACGGAAGTGCTTGGTTCCAACCCCTGCCCAAAAATGTATATAAAGCATAGAAAAATAAAAAAAATTTCGGCAGTTCCACCCAGTTGGATATGACCAGTTACATATGAGATGTCTCAAAAGTATTGTAAGAATGTTTTGACATCTATTTCCATCATTGGCTCTTATGATTTTGGAAATGATTCTAAGTAAAATTAAGGAAAAATACACAACAAGTCAAGATTCAGGAACAAGAAGGTCCTGCATACTCAAAATTATCCAGCAAAGTCATGAAAAGTCACTGGCAAAAGTTTCATCGATTCTAAAGAACCATCCCATAACAAGAAATTTCATATAAATTTTTTCATAGAAACTTTTTGAAAAATTACGTCACAATTTGCTCACTTAGCTCACGTGAGCAATTTCGTGAGCAAAATTCGGCTCGCGAGCTGAAAATCTCACGAGCAAAATTTTCGTGAGCCGCTCACGAAAAATTTGCTCGTGAGATTTTTAAAAATTTGCTCACAAAAATTTTGGCTCGTGAAAAATTTGGTGAGATTTTGAACACTAGAGAAAACTTGATTTGAAATCTCGCGAGTTTTCAAATCTCGTGAGATTTTTTTTCTTACTTCTCACTTCTCAATTGAGATTTTTAATTTCAATTTGTGAAGTCACAAGTGAAAATTTTTCAAAAAATTTGTTTGAAAATGGAATCAGAAAGAAAAAAAGAAGAATTCATATTATTAGTCTTGTAAAAAACATACTCAAAACTAGGGATTTTATACAGGCCCAAAATTTCAATCCCGGGATTACGGTATTGGAAATTGTTGATCCAGTTCAGAAACTAGGGTATAAAATTGCGTTTAACATGTTCAAAATAAGAGATTTCAATTCCAATCAGGTGCATTAGTCATTAAAAAAATTTTTGAATTGAAAACTAAGCCAGAAAGACAAAGTTTTTCCAAATGTATCAATATTTCCTTTTATTGTCTTGCTGAACTTTTTAACTTTACAATTGAAGCTTTTGTAAATTTTCATAAAGATTATCTTTTAACCTTTCAAATCAAAAATGATTTAAAATTTTACGTAAAAATTTGATTATTCTTTTTTAAAAATTTTTAAAACTTTTGTTTTATAAAATATCAAGAACTTTAATTTTTATTTCAAATAATAGATTTTATCGCAGCTTTATTAGAGATGCATTCGAACGATCATAAAATCTATTTAAAATTCAAAAATTTTCAAATTTTTGTAAATTACAATGGGCATGTGAAAACACTTATCTTTAACATTTATAATTTTGAAAAGAAAACTGTAAGTTAAAAAGAATTCTTAAATTATTTTGTAAAATCTTGCTGGTTATTATTATTTTACTTTTTAAAATTAACAAGATTTGTGAGAAATTCTAAGGATATCTTAAATTATCAAAATTGGTTAATCCAGCAAAAAGCTTAAAGTTAAATCCGAGGATTAATTTTCTGCAATTCGAGATTTTAATCTCTATATACATTTGTATATAGGTTTTAAAAACTGCAGGTGCAGTTTTTTACTTCTATTGATTTTTTCATTAGGAATTCAACTTTATAAAGAAAGCAAAGGAAATCGATCTATTGTAATGATTTAAAGCAATCAGTCAGTTCTTGACTAGAAAACGATCATTTCCTGTTATTCGAGCTTCATTTGCGATATCATTGGATTTTTGATCAACTTTGGTGATTGATTGTTCATCATCATGTCAAACATTCTGACGACTTTTCACTAATGTATTCTTATTAATTTGCTTAGAAATTAATTAATTAAGCTATCATGAACTTAACTTACATACACTCGAAATTAACAAAGAAACGATGCGGCAAAATAATTTGAATTTTAACGAAAGTGTAAAAGTCATAGCATGCAAGAAATATCATACGAAAAAATGAAAAATTTGATTTCAGTAGCCATTGAAAAACAAATTTTCTTCAGTATTCAACAATCATCGTAGCACTCAAGATGTTTCCAATTAAAAGTTCAACGACAATTAATACTTCAACGGTTCCAGCAAACACGATGTCACCGAATGTATCAACCATCAAGATGAATTCATCGAAGGCAGCATCAACGAGAATAATTCATCCAAAAAACGTTTCCTGTACCAATATTCCGCGAAGCAAAATGTCAACTGTCAAGACTTCTTTGTCAGCTTTGCCTTCAAAAGGCAAAGATTTTTCAAAGTTTCGGCAAGCATTGACTACCAAGACTTCTTTGAGATCCTTGCATTCAACAAGGAAAATTGCAAATGAGGTGCCATCATCAACGAGAATGCCTCTGAAATCGTCGTTCTGTTTAAAGATTCAGCAAACCAAAACGTTGACATCAAAGGTTTCCTTACCAACTAAGACTTCCACTGGAATGCTAGCAACTGAAGTGTCATCAAAAGAAGTTATCGTCGGTAAAGATTTCGCGAAGCAAAATGTCAACCCTAATGGTTTCTTTAGCAGCATTGCCTTCAAAAGGCTTATTGTTCGAAAATAAGGTGCCATCAACAAAGAGAATGCCTCAGAAGAAGTTATCGTCGGCAAATATTCTGCAAAGCAAAATGCAGGCTAAAAAGAATGCTTTTACACCTTTGCCTTCGAAACAAATGTCATCATCAAAGATGAAGATCAAGAAAAGGATGAAATCAAAACAAATCTCGGTCGTGAAAAGCTCTCCATCGTGTTATCGTGGAATCACTTCGTCAACCAACTATAATGATTTGCCTTTCGACCATGATCAAATGTAAGTAGGCCATACATTTATTAAGTTCGTCCAAGGAAAGCAATTGAATAGCTGAAAGTTCTGGCTTAATATAGGATTTGGGTTGAGTTCATTTCAATTAAATATCCAGAATTCATTTCTGAATCAGGGTTTTGGGGAACCTGTTCACAGAAAACAGAAAAACAGCTGTTTTTCGACAAAAATCTGTTAACAGAAAACAGGTCTCAAAAACAGATCTGTTTTCTGTTTTTCATTTTTACATATAATTTACAGAAAAAAAAATTCTTAATTTTTTGAAGAACTTAATATATTTTTCTAGCATTCCAAATTGAAATGTATTTACTATTTTAATATTTTTTGGATGTTTAATAGGTTTGAAATCATTGTCAAATTTATGATTAATCATTATCAGGGTGGGGGAGTTTTTTGCGATTTAAATCAAAATCCCAAATCAAATTGTGATTTTTGATTTAAATCTCATATAAAAATGATTTGAAAAATGATTTTTGATTTAAATCATTTTACCCAAGTGATTTATTTTTGATTTATGATTTTTAATCATTTTGTATGAATGATTTTTTTGTGATTTATGATTTAAATCATTTTGTATTAAAGATTTTTATGTGATTTATGATTTTTAATCATTTTGTATGAATGATTTTTTTGTGATTTATGATTTAAATCATTTTGTATTAAAGATTTTTATGTGATTTATGATTTAAATCATTTTGTATGAAAGATTTCTTTTGTGATTTATGATTTAAATCACATTGTATGGGGATTTTTTTGGGATTTTAAATCACTTGAAGGTGAAAATTTGATAAGAATTTTTCAGATGGTTTTTATAAATCATTAATCATAAATCATGGATATCCTTTCTGGTATAGAAAAATGACAGCAACCATTGATTCCATGGTTTAGTTCATGAATCTTCATTTTCTGTGGTGCTTCATTCTTAAATGACTTCATATTTCACATTTTCAGTCTTCAGGCACTAAAGGAATCGGTCGGTTCCTCAATAAAAAAATTTCTTCCAGAATGTGATTCCTTGATTAAAAAGAAACAAAAAAATTTTTTTGGGATGTAAAGGAACTGGGCAGTTCCAGTGTCTAATCTTACCTCTGGCTAAGAAATACAAACGTATACCTCTTTGACAATGAAAACTTATCAAAAAACGCTTTAAAGGGACTGGAAGTGACTAGTTCCTCATATGGAGCCAGATCCATTCATGCTTTATCATGTACAGCTCTACCAATATCTGCATACTTAAGCAACAAGACACAGAAAATGAAAATTCATGATCTAAACCATGGAATCAATGGTTGCTGTCATTTTTCTATACCAGAAAGGATATCCATGATTTATGATTAATGATTTGTAATAACCATCTGAAAAATTTTTAACAAATTTTCACCTTCAATTGATTTAAAATCAGAAAAAAAAAATCCCAATACAATGTGATTTAAATCATAAATCACAAAAAAATCATTCATACAAAATGATTTAAATCATAAATCACAAAAAAATCACTTGGGTAAAATGATTTAAATCATTTTTCAAATCATTGCAAAATGATTTTGATTTTGATTTATGATTTAAATCGCCACCCTGATCATTATTAATTTTGCAATCGAAATTTTAAATTTGTTGAACCTTTTGTAGCATTTACTAAAGTTCAAAAATATAATCAAAAATTTTAAAAGATATTTTTTTATTCAGAAAGATTTTTTGAATATTTCAAATAAAATATTAGAGTTTATGGAACTTTTACAATACAACAATGCAATGTTACTTAAAAGTATAAATTTTTTTTTACATTTTTATATTTCATTATATTTTTTTGAGTTAATTAACAAAAAAATTAAGAAATATTAATGCTAAGCTCTAAAATGTATGCTTAACTGCTTATAACCACCAAAAAGTTTCATTATCTTAAAGAAACACTTAGGATAACTCAGTTTATTTTGAATTCTAGAAAAACAGGAAAACAGCTGTTTTTAAAAATCAAAAACCGAAAACAGACTGGTTTTCAAAAACAGCTGTTTTCCACAAACCCTATTTCTGATTCTACCAGTTTTGATAATTTATTTTAAAATTTCTTTCCTCTTTTCTAGTTTCCTGATCCTAGAACTACAAAGTTGTATCGGGGATTCTTGACATATTTCGTAAATGAATCGTACTCGCTTAAAACAGACTTCCTAAATTACCTTAGCATTGAGTTTGAGGTCGAGGACGTTGATGCAAGAAATTAATCGATTCTTGGAGCGCCATCCAAACTTTAAAAAGCGACTCGAAGAATACAACAACTGGCAAAGTCTGAGGAAACCAGCTGTAAGTCATTGCATCTTATATTTATTTATTAGATGCCATACTTATTCACACTAATGTTATTATTCTTTTGTTCTTTTAGGATTACACTCATCCTGCACTTCGAGATGGATTCAGTTGTTTGCTGGAGCATTTCCAGGACAGTCCATTTAAAATCAAGAAGAAGCTATTGAGTTTTCTTGAGGTTTGGGATGAATTTTATGGCTGTCAAAATTTAAACGCTCAAACACGCAAGATTCTTGCTAAATGTCCAAAACTCAAACGCGAACTCCTGGAATACAATGTTTTGGCAAAAATCCAAGACTGCAAGGTAAGAAATAAATCCCTTATTTAAAAGCTTTCAATTGTTTTTTGTTTTTCGTCTTCGTCTGAATCCTGAATGGTATTCATTCAGTAATAGTTTGCTTTCTAAGGTTCATTGGAGTCGTCTGTTCAGAATTTGTTCTCATCTTAATCGGTGTTTGAATCTTAATAATCTTAATAATTCATATTTTGTTTATTTTTCAGTATGTCACATCGAGCAGTACATATAGAAGCAGCCGTGTATGTCCAACTCTTCCACTTAAATCTCCTGGATTTATAAGGTCAGTGAAAAAAATGTGTTCATGGGTTCGTAGGAAGATCACTTGTTCAAGCTATTAATTTAATTAATGGGATGAAGGTCGACCGATTTTTTTAACGTAAGGGAGGGGGATAGTTTTATTTCATGTGTATAAAGGGTGGGGGTCGTTCCAATTTGTCTTAACGTAAGGGGTAAAAAGTGGGTGGGAATGGCGGAAGGGATTAAAGTAAGGGAGGGCGATTGGTCTTGTTTAAATTTCATGTAAATATGGGGTAGGGGTGGTCTAATGTAGGAGGTAATAGGTGGGTTGCGTATTGATGGGTGGAAAAGACGAGAAGAGCCTCAACAAATCTATCTGGGAGTGGCGCCCCAGTGACGTCAAGGTTTTATTTGTTTAAAAAGATGGACTGACTTAATTTAAATGTGTGCGTTCGATTTTTAGCTTTTTTTTCCGAACGAGGCAATCCAATGCTAGCACACAGAAATTTTTGAGGTTCTTATTTGTCGAAAATCGAATCTTCGAAATTCTTATTTTTAAAAAATTCGTTGTGAATTATTATTTTTCGAGTAATTTGTAATTTTAGTGAACATTCCTACTAGTTTTTATGATTAAGATAATCATTGTGAGGAAATTGCATTCCTTAAATGTTCATGCTTTAAAAAACAGCTAGTTTAAAAATAAATTAAAAAATAACGGACTTTCTTATTTTGAAATTTTAAAATAATACCGCGCGAAAATTTGAAATTTTTTTGTTTGTAACGGACTCTGTTCTCTTTGCTAACATTGGGAGGCAATAATCCTCTATAAACAGGTTTACTATAACTTATTGGAAAAGTCTTTAGAGGGGGATGAGGGTGAGACTGTCCATCAAAAAAGTAATATAGTTTTTATGTAGTTTGTATGTACAACGAATTGTTGTATAATGTGTCGCTTTGTCTGAAGTCATTTTTGTCAATCTGTCTGTTCGTGTCCGTCCGTGATAAACCATTATTTAATCTATTTCTTTTACAGCTTTTATTTACCTTATTAATTTACTGAAGAATTGGACTTAGTCCAAACCATTCATAACAAATAATATCCAAACCAATTGTCATAACTAGAGTAAAAGTTGTGAATTGAATTGGATAGTTTAAAATTTGAAATGTTTGAGTTTCAATTTTTGTGACTCGTTTTTCAATTCCTAAAATATGAATTTTTCGTCGTCAATTCTTGAAATGCAAATTTTTCAATTCTTGAAATGTGAACTTTTTGTCGTCAATTCTTGAAATGTGAATTTTTTATGTTCAATTCTTAAAATGCGAGTTTTTCGTCTTCAATTCTTGAAATGTGAATTTTTCGTCTTTATTTCTTAAAAAATGAATTTTTCGTCTTCAATTCTTGAAATGCGAATTTTTCATCTTTAATTCGTGAAATGTGAATTTTTCGTCTTTAATTCTTGAAATGCGAATTTTTCATCTTTAATTCGTGAAATGTGAATTTTTCGTCTTCAATTCTTGAAATGCGAGTTTTTCATTTTCAATTCTTAAAATGTGAATTTTTCGTCTTTATTTCTTAAAATGTGAATTTTTCGTCTTCAATTCTTGAAATGCGAATTTTTCATTTTCAATTCTTGAAATGCGAATTTTTCGACTTCATTTCTTAAAATATGAATTTTTCGTCGTCAATTCTTGAAATGAAAATTTTTCAATTCTTGAAATGTGAACTTTTTATGTTCAATTCTTGAAATGTGAATTTTTCATGTTCAATTCTTAAAATGTGAATTTTTTGTCGTCAGTTCTTCAACTGTGAATTTTTTATGTTTAATTCTTGAAATGTGAATTTTCGTGGTCAATTCTTGAGATTCATAGTTTTAGAATTTAAATTTTTTGTGAGTTGGCAAAAATCCTATCATTTTTCAGCATTTCAACTGGTTCATTTTCAATATTTTTGACCCTTTTCAATTATTCATCAACTTACATCAAAAAGTTCATGAAAATAACGGAATTACTTAACTAATTTATGCTATAATTAATCAAAAATGGACCACCTTACCAAATTACGTTTCAATAGGAATTTTTGAAAATTGATTTAAACTTGCAGTTTGCTTTCGAGAAGGTATATTAAATTTAACATTAAAGTTTAACCTTAAGAAGTTTTAAAATAAATTTTGTTTCTTCTTTTCAAAAATATGTAATTTTCGAGTCCCTATTAAAATAACGAATTTCAAAAATTCGAAACTTCATTTTTACGAACATGTTATTTTTCCGAAAATTAATTTTTACGAGATTTTTTATGAACTTCAAATTTTAATAATCGGTTAATTCCATCACGTGGTTGAAATATTTTACTAAACAATATATTTTATTTAAAGTGATAATTTATGACTAAAAACATCAACAAATCCAGTGTTTTCATAAGTTTTTAAGTGATATTTATTGTGTATTGCAAAATCATGTTGGAAGAACTTGAATACGAATCATTCGAGTGTTTGGTAGATTATTAGGAAGAAATTCAAGAAGAAAATTCAGAATCGGAAATTTATGTTGCTGAAGATAATGATGTATGTATTTTAAGAGATTTTAAGTAATTCAATTATTTAATTCTGAGTTATCTATTTTTGTGTTTTCTGATTGTTCAAATTAATAGCATAGCATCAAATTTTTTACAACATCCAGTGGCAATGAGAAATTATCATTTGACGAATATAGTTTCTATCATAACAAAACAACAGGATCAATAAGCTACTTTCAATGCGCTAATAAGAACATTGGATGCAAATCACGTATTAAGGTTGTCACAACTGAAAATGGAATTTGTAATGTTTATTCCCCAAAAATAAGGCATGATCATATTGTCAAGCCTATTAAGACAGCAACAGAAATTGCTTTGAGCAATCTTAGAGAGAAAGCTGCTGCTGATGGTTCTCGTCCTTGTCAAATATTGAATGATATCTTGGCTGATCCTGAAAACCGATACATAAATGCAAACTTACCATCAAGACAAGCACTTACTCAACGTGTGCAACGTGTTCGAGTCAAAAATAGCGAAAAATTGCCTCCTGAACCTGAATCTTTGGAATTTGAATATGATAGTCTTTTGTTCCATTAATAACGAGTTTATTGTACTTGGAGATTGGTGTGAAAACGATGGATCTAAAAGAGTTACTATTTTCTCTTCATCACGTTTCTTCAAATTTTTATGTGATAGCGAGATTTCGATGGCTGATGGAAGATTCCAGACATGCTCAAAGCTTTTTTACCAACTCCTTATCATTCACGGCAACCTTCGAGAAGATCGTTATGTTGCATATCCAAAGCTATTTGTATTGATGTCAGGAAAGTCTGTTTATTTGTACGATAAAGCTTTGGGTTTGATTCAACAGATCGCAAGAAATCGTGGAAAGAGAATTCGTTTCACGCATGCATTATTCGACTTTGAAATAAAAGTATCAGTATCATTCCAGAAATCATTTCCGCATGCTAATTATTCAGGATGTCTTTTTCATTTGGACCAAAATATAGTAAAACGTGTTAAATCTTGTGGTTACTATAAGGACTTTCTTCGTGATCACGCATTTTACATTGAAATTTCTTGCATCATGTCTTTACCTTACTTTCCGCCAAACGAAATTATTTTATATTTTGATGCTTTATTTATTACATTATCCCAAAAAGCACAACAAATTGCACTTTGGTTCAAAATCAATTATATCCAAGGCAACGAAGGAAGAGAACCTAGATATAGACAAACATTTTAGAGCATATATGACAATTTCTTTAATGGCTATCCAACGACACAAAACTGGGCTGAATCTTATCATCATAAAATGCATTGCATCCTTGACAATGAACGTCAACCAATTTATAAGTTCTTGCAGTTTTTAAAAAAGGAATTCGTTTCAATTGATTTAGATATTGATAAATATCTTACTGGAAAACCTCAAAAGCACAGAATGCCAGGTTTTGAGCGTACAGAAAATGCAATAAAATCAATCATCAATCGACGGCAATCTGTGCCACGCATAGAAACATTAAGAGCTTTAGTGAAAGTTAAGAACAACTTAAGAACGAAGACAGATTAAAAAAGTTAAGAAATATCTTATTTTGAAAGTGTTTTTTTTTTATTTTAAAGATTTTTTCATAATTAATAAGAATTTTGCACGCGATGGAATTAACCGATTATTAAAATTTGAAATTCATAAAAAAACTCGTAAAAATTAATTTTCGGAAAAATGACATGTTCGTAAAAATGAGAATTCGAATTTTTGAAATTCGTTATTTTAATAGGGACTCGTAATTTTCATACAACCGATGTTGTTCTCAAAGAGGCGAAAACTCAAATAAAACAATAAATTCAGTTTTTGACATAAAATAAGATTTTTTTTAAGTCGATGTCTCTTTATCTCATTATAAACAACTAGGCTATCCGGAGGCACCCGTGGCGACTCTTATCAGGGTTAAAATTTGATTAGTATTATGGAAATAACTGTAAGAGGCAAATAACCATAATGTTTTTAAGGTCAATGCTACCACAAAACTTCACATGACCTCACAACCCCATCAAACTCGGATTTCCTTAATCCCACAAAAACTATTTAAATGGCTTAACAAACTCCCTCAAACTCGGACTTCCTTAATCCCGCAAAAACTTTATAAATAGCTTCACAAAACTTCACATGGCTTCACAAACCCCCACAAAATTTTATATGGATTCATAAAATATTCCTGACACCAAACTTTTCCCACAAACCCCCTCAAATTCAGACCCCCCCCCCAACTGACACTCACCTTGTCAGCCTCCTCAAATCATTGGCTTCACAAAATATACCTGACACCCACCCCTCACCTGACACCCACCCCTCACCTGAAACCCACCCCTCATCTGACACCCACTTTGTCAGCACCCTTCAAATCATTTGCTTCACACGGCTTTACAAAAAATACCTGACACCCACTTTGTCCCCCCCCTACAACTGACACCCACCTTGTCAGCACCCCTTAAATCATTGGCTTCATATGGCTTCACAAAATATACCTGACACTCCCCTTGCCCCCCACCTTGTCAGCACCCCCCCCTGAAACCCACCCACCCCCCACCTGACAACCACCTTGTCAACACTCCTTAAATTTTTGTCTTCACTCGGCTTCACAAATGTCTTCACATGGCTTCCGTTCCAGAGTCAGTGAATCAGTGAATTGGGCTTTATATATTAGATAGTTGAATTGTCATAACGGAATTTTTGTAATCAAATAGATAGCAGCGCTTTCTATCCGAAAAAATCAACAATTATACTCTAGCCAATCAGCACGAACCAACACAATCTTCTGTAATTTCGATCCGGCGAAACAAGTATTTTTTGTTTAATTTATTTTATAAGTGATATAAGTACTATAAGGGACAGATCAATTACTTTTGTTTGTCAGTTTTAAATTAGATTGCAAGTATAGACGATATAGGATAGTTGAAAAGATGAAATTTTACATATTATTAGCATTTTTATTCATTGCTGAGTTGGCTAGTTCAGCCGAAAGTGATGTTCTGGATTTGACTGATGCCGATTTTGAGGCAACTGTTAAGCAGTACCCAACTGTTCTGGTCATGTTCTTTGCTCCTTGGTGTGGTTAGTATCTAGTTTCTGTTTAATTAATGCATATATCTGATGTCTTGCATCAAGTTTTATCAGTTTTATCTAACCTTCAAAAAAGTTTAATGATTTGGTAATTCTAGTGATTGTTAATTGTATGGGAAATATGACGTCTTTTTGAGACGTGGATAAACATATTCTGTGTTCATTAATTGCTGTATATTGCAAGTCCAGATGTTTGTGCTGGATCTTACATGAATTAAATGCCATCGAAAGTATATTTTTAAAAAAGTGATAACAAAGATTATTTAACTAGTGATTTGAGTGGTTGCAAAGTTCATAAAGACCCTCAAATTAAAGTTTAATTTTTTTTGCTTCGAAGCTATCCTCAGCAGTTTAATTATTGAATAGGAATTAAGCAGAAAAATTAAAAATTCTCTTTATACGTGCACAGGTATAAACTTTAATGTTAATTTGACATTTTTCTTGGATCCCTTTTTGGCATAAATTTTGGTACCTTAGCTTGTTCCTTAAAAAAAAAATGTCTCATCTGCATATATTGAAGCTATAAAACGTGGGGTTTGGGGAACCTGTTAACAGAAAACAGAAAAACAGCTGTTTTTCGACAAAAATCTGTTAACAGAAAACAGGTCTCAAAAACAGATCTGTTTTCTGTTTTTCATTTTTACATATAATTTACAGAAAAAAAAAATCTTAATTTTTTGAAGAACTTAATTATATTTTTCTAGCATTCCAAATTGAAATGTATTTACTATTTTAATATTTTTTGGATGTTTAATAGGTTTGAAATCATTGTCAAATTTATGGTTAATCATTATTAATTTTGCAATCGAAATTTTAAATTTGTAGCATTTACTAAAGTTCAAAAATATAATCAACAATTTTACAAGATATTTTTTTATTCAGAAAGATTTTTTGAATATTTCAAATAAAATATTAGAGTTTATGGAACTTTTACAATACAACAATGCAATGTTACTTAAAAGTATAAGAAATAATAATGCTAAGCTCTAAAATGTATGCTTAACCACCAAAAAGTTTCATTATCTTAAAGAAACACTTAGGATAACTCAGTTTATTTTGAATTCTAGAAAAACAGGAAAAGAGCTGTTTAAAAATCAAAAACCGAAAACAAACTGTTTTTTAAAAACAGCTGTTTTCCACAAACCCTAATAAAACGACTAGAAAATATTCTAAAACTGCTATACTGATCTATTATGAAATTGATAGAAATGTTCGAGAAAAGAAAAGATCCAGTTGATCAAAAATTTAGCATAGCTTAATTTGCATCATAATTACACAAATTCTCAAATTATAAAATAACAGACAGTACCAGACACTCATTTGTCTAATTACTGTCATTAATATCTACACACAGAAAATGATTAAACTTTGCCTTACACCTAAATCACCCTTTAAGTCATTTCTTCTTCTTTTCTTTCATTCCATGTTATTCTTATCTTTGCTGTACAACTACACAGGTCACTGTAAAAAGTAAGTTTACACTGATTTTAGTCATGTATGCATTGTTAATAAATTTTTATCATTTTTTTTATTAAATCAGAATAAAGCCAGAATATGCTAAAGCCGCTGAATTGATGCGTACTGATGATCCACCAGTCGTGTTTGCAAAGGTCGATTGTACAGAAGGTGGAAAGGAAACATGTAGTAAATACTCTGTGTCTGGATATCCAACACTCAAAATCTTCCGAGATGGCGAGAATTCTCAGGAATATCAAGGTCCACGTGAAGCAGGTAATATTCTCCAAACATAATTTAAAAGAGTCATGCTTTAATAAATCATTAATAATTACAGTTGGAATCGCTAAATACATGAGAGCTCAAGTTGGACCATCATCAAAGGACATTTTGACTGTTGAAGCTTTTGAAGCATTCCTTAAGGTTCAAGAACCATCAATTGTTGGATTCTTCGAAAAAGAGTCAGACTTGAAGACAGTCTTCTTGAAATATGCTGACAAGCAACGCGAGAAGTTACGTTTTGCACACACAAGCGATCCAGCAATTTTGAAAAAAGTTGGCGAGACGTAAGTTTGCATGCACACGTAGTTTATTGATTATTTAAAAATTCATTGCTATCCACAGAGATTCTATCTACCTTTACCGTGCACCACAATTGGCCAACAAAATCGAACCAGCAACAGTCGAATTCTCAGGAAAGGATGCTGGCGAACTTACTGAATTTGTCAAGACTAATCTTCACGGTTTGGCTGGTCTCCGCACAAGAGATTCAATAAATGACTTCAAGAATCCATTAGTTGTTGCTTACTATGCTGTTGATTATGTTAAGAATCCAAAGGGTACAAATTACTGGCGTAATCGTATTCTTAAGGTTGCTAAGGAATGGGAAGGCAAAATTAATTTCGCTATATCAGCCAAGGATGAATTCCAACATGAATTGAATGAATATGGATATGATTATGTTGGTGATAAGCCATTAGTGTTGGCACGCGACGCACGTAATCAGAAATTCATCATGAAAGACGAATTCTCGTAAGTTTTTATCTTGATTTACATTTTGTGTTTTGTTGTTTGGAGTGATTTTGATGACACGTGACAATAACTGTGATTTATCGATTCAATTTCTATTTTTAAAATTGATTTGTTAATTTCTCCTTCATTTAATTTTACAGAATTGAAAACCTCCAAGCATTTGTAAATGATCTCGATGAAGGAAACTTAGAAGCTTACGTCAAATCAGAACCAATTCCAGAAAAGAATGACGGTGGCGTTAAAATCGCTGTTGCCAAGAACTTTGACGATGTCGTTCCAAAAGATAAAGATGTCTTGATTGAATTCTATGCTGCTTGGTGTGGACATTGCAAGAAGTAAGTGCTACCTGATTAATTTCATGTGCATAATAACTAATTTTAATCCTTTGTTCTTTAGATTGGCTCCAATCTTTGATGAATTAGGTGAGAAATTGAAGGATGAAGATGTCGTGATTGTTAAGATGGACGCAACATTAAATGACGTTAATCCAGCATTCGATGTTCGTGGCTTCCCAACACTCTTCTGGTTGCCAAAAGATAAACACGATTCTCCAGTCAGATATGACGGTGGACGTGAATTAGATGATTTCATGAAATACATTAGCAAGCATGCAACATCAGAATTGAATGGATGGGATCGTTCAGGCAAAGAGAAGAAGACAGAGTTGTAATCTCATAAAATCTAATTTTCCATCACACATAGTAGAAAGTTCTCCATCGATTTTTAAGGCATTAGAATTTTCAATTAAACTACTAAATTAAGTAACAACTAAGTAATGTTTTTGAATCAAACGTAATAAATATGTCGTGAAATTTGTGATTATTTTAACATTTCCTCCATTGAGAAATTCTTTCAATTTTTTTTATTGTCACAGAACTGTTATTCAAATAATTTCATGATGTGTTTTTCGTCAGTTTTTTTAATTCCCAAAAGTAAACTTAATTCCACAAAATAAAAGTAAAAATAAAAAAAAACTGATACATCAAATATTTTGACTGTCGTGTATTAATATGTTGAGCTACTTGTTTGCGTGTTTACATGATAAGCATGTGTAAAGGTACACGTATGATATAAAATTTCAGGGAAAGCACAAGATATGATAAAAATTGAGGAAGTTACAGAATAAAACGACTAAGGTGAAGCTGAATCATTAAATAAGATCATCTGAGACTATCTCCTAACCCCTTAATTCATTGTTTAAAAGTCAAACCGTCACAAGTCAATGACCTCAAAGTTTCATACTCGAAAGCAATTTTTTTATTGGCAGAGGGTCTGGTGTTTGAAATTGAGAGGGGGGGGGGGGGGGGGTGCTCGAGGATAATACAATATTTTAAGATAAACCATGGTTGACGAGCAGTTACAAAAAAACTATCGGACGTAATTTATGGAAATTATTCGTTTATCACTAGAACAAGCTACCACGTTGACAATTTTTTCGAAATTTTCATAGGTAACAAAAATATAATTTAAATCAATTTTAAATAAACTCGTTCAATGAACACAGAATTTCTAATGTAATTTCCTGCACGATTATGACATTGTAAATTATACAAAATACAGAACACAATCAGCTACAAAACATTTGACATTGAAAAGCCCATTTAATGGAACTATGGACAGTTCAAAAACTCATTTCACACCAAAAATGAGTCAGAAGATTAAAATGATTTAAACAGATGCATCCTTTCTAAACATGCTTAGTCTTTAAAACATTAAAGTCAATACTGTTACAATTTTTCATTTCAAGTGACAAATTATATCCAAGCAAATATTCTGTTTTCAATATAAAGTTCCACTATCCTAATATACTAGAGTGAAATGTGTGTATCTCGTGACTAAAGGCACGAGAATTGTTTTTAAAAATTTATCAGTCAAGTTTTTATCAGCTACTGTCATAATTTATTTCCTGTAATACATGAAGTGAAATACATGAGTCGGTACAGCAGAAATAAGTCGGTATTCAAAATTCGTCAGTTCCCCTTAAACTATGCAATCAGCAAACCCAAACCAAACATATCACAAGATCTACTCTACTGAACAAGTATGAAGGAAATTTAACAAATATATGTGAGGTCGTCAGGCCTACGCTGACTTAATTTGATTTAAATATTGACATTATGTTAAACATTATTATTATGCAGCTTGCTAAACTCAGTGTGAGACAAAAGCATCAAAAACAAAAGGTGATATAAAATTGTAAACATTAAACAACATGGTGTTGCATGTTGATTGGAAGCTACTTTTGACCAGTGAAGATTTTAATGTTATCAAGTTGGTCTTGAATAAAGTTTATCAAGGGGTCGATAACTAGTCACGAGGATTCAATAAGTGACGTCATTCATGATATATGATGATCCATTTTGAATCAAAGTTGTCAAAAGATCAACCTCGAAGTTGATTAAATTTGAATGAAATTCAAGTGAGTTTCAATTATTTTAAGATTGAGAATTAAGGATTAAAGGCAGAACTTACAATCACTAGAGCTACACGACTCAATTTTTCCAATTTAATATTATATACAAAGATTTAGAATAAAAAAATACAAGAAATTATAGCAACAAAATTATGATCAGTAAATCACTCAAGAAATCACATCCCAAAGCCTTAAATAATACCAAATCCAATTTCTGAACAAAATACACAGCAAGAAACTCCATATTAACGCAAAAAGGCATGACAATTGTAATTTCTATTTAACTTATTACTTATATTTTCCATACTAGTGCATGCGAAGTAAGAATTCTAGTCAAACTTGATAGGTCACACTTTTTCAATAAATTTCAACTCAAATTCATTTCCATTTTAATATCATATCTCATGTCGCATGCCTCATAGATTTATAACGCTTTTTCATGTTAACACAAATTACGAGAACGAAAAGTTGAAATTTACATAAAAAGCAACTTGTGATTTATTGCCACAATTTTAATTTTAACTTTTTTTTTTATTTTCTTTTCATAACAATGAGACAACGATTTTGAATATTGTGTGCCTAAAAGGAAGGCGGGAAATATGAATTCATATGAATTGAGAATGAGTGAATGTAGAGCTTAATGTAGATTCAAATTTCACCAAGTTATTACAAATCTCATTTTCTGGAATAAGAGAAACAATTGTAAATAATTGTAATTTGGGCTTGTTTTCTTGTTGGATGAGCTGCAGAATCGTCAGTTTGGAGGATTTAAAGATTATTAAATATTTCTTAATATTCAAATGATTTTTGAATTGTCGAAATGTTGAAAATTTGAATTCTTTAGTAATCAAATAGATTTGAGTTCGGAAAAACTTTAGAAAATTCTTAATTCTAAATGAATTCATTAAAAAATCAACAATTTAAAAGAACTTTAAAATTTTATAAACATTCAAATTCAAACAAAATTTCGTAAATTTTGATTTAAAAAAAATTGCGTCAAATCCACAAATTTCAACAATATCTTCAAACTTTACTATTGTTGTGCCACTCACAATTGTTTGCAACTCTTTAAAACTTTATGTTTTCCTTTGCTCCCTTTACAAAAATGCTAAGTTGAGATCATAATTTCAAAAAAATATAATTCACTCATTCATTCATTTAAATTTCTACGTTTTCATTCATAAAATAAAGCGTAGCATAAATAGTAAGCACAATATTGAGATTTGTATATTTGTTTCATTATTCATTCCATCAGAAAATCCACATCAGCCACACGCCTACGCCAATAAATCACGTAATGTTCAACATCAACAACAAGCATTATTTGATATTTCATCATTGTTGTTGTATCTTAAAACACTAACACTTGCATGGAGAATATTTCATTCATAAAAAAACTCACTTATTATTTTTGAATAATCATTCATATGTCGCCGTCATAGATACCTTCATTCATCGATTCTATTCATTCATACACTCATTCATTCATAGTCTCAAGATTGTTGCTTTTTTTCATTAATGAAATTAATGTGATATAGTAGTAGCGTAGGTTGGCGCTCAAAAAATACTAAAACTTGAAATTAAGATAAAAAAATCTATCAACATTTGAATTTTTTTGATTATTCACTAAATTTTCGCGGTAATCGATTAGTCTGATGGACTAAATGATGGTTCCTTTAAATGTGGGTAAGGAACATCATTTTCCATACGTTAATTAACACGCGTTAGCAACAAATTGACTCTTAAAATGGATTTAAAATGTTTGTTTGATAATCATTCATAATTAACTATTTTTCATGGAATTTGGGAGTAATTTCTGATGATCAGATCAATGGGGAGTGGGAGGTGTTGAGTAAGTTTATGATAAATTGATCACTTAGTTTATTCAGTCATGAATGAATTTTTTTTTTTAAAGATTTGGAAGATATAAACGTTCAAAATTAATTCAAGATCAATCGGAAGCTTTAAACAGATTAAAATGCTAATTGACTTTAAGATTGTATTAAGCTGGATCTTTTATTTACCAAGAACTTGAAATTGATACGTTAAGATGATTCACAGACATCATCTTCAAAAATATCCTCTGAGAAATCAAATGATTCAACTTCAAAGCTTAAGTTTTATCAAAAATTGCGCCTTAATCAACATTATAATAGAGTTCAACCTACTGATAAATATGAAAATTCTATAAAATTTATTGTCACAATCCACTAACAGTTTTGAAAGATAAATTTGAAAAATTGGTTCAATTTTTAAATTTTATGAACGTGAAAATTCATATTTAACTGCACCTGTATCGGAAATACAAGCAATAAATTAAAATATATATGCCAGCAATATTCTGTTCCTTTGTTCACCACGACACTAGCTATTTTCGCCTTTACAAATAAATGTTGACATTGGTCCAATAAATCACATGGACTCCTGGTAGCAAACATGCTTTTAAACATTTCTTTGTCAACATAAGCTTTGACGTTGACTTTTATTTATGGAAATTTTTCTCTCAAAAAACTTATCATAAGGTGCATGTTTGTGGATATTTTGCAGAGTCTGAAAGTAATGAGGATGTTGGTTTAAAAAGCATTAAGATTTGGATCGCTTTTTAAATTGTAATCAGAATTTTCATTATGAAAAAATAGTTGCATGCCCCTTTTGTTGTTGATTCTATTGTATCTTTCTAAATCACTGATTTAACTTCAAATAATGCTTTAATTTAATTATTAGAACTTAGAAAACTAAACCAATCAGTCAAAACAGAATTAATTTACACTATTCTCAGTTCAACAAGCTCTAAAAGCATGTACGTACATGCTTATTCTTGCTTCTGCCCATAGTCAGACACAGAAAACCTTGAAATAATTCTTAATTTACCACGTAATTACATTTTCTGAGACAATAATTGATCTTGATCTGATTATGATTTGTTTCTCTCGAGTCGAGTATAAAATTATCTACTATCCCACACATGAAGCACTCCGTTCCTATCCTTTTTGTAATTATATCAAATCAAGTCGCTATTATCACCTACATTTCAATCCACCTAATTGGTGCTTAAATCGTTTCTTAAATTGAATGTTGATTGAAATAACGAAAAGATGCCGAACGACAAAAAAGGCTTGACATCAAGAAGATGTTTAGTTGCTCTCAGAAATTTCATAACACAGATGAACGTGTGATCGTAATTAATTAGCATTTTCCATCGACTCATTTCGTATCACATTATCGTCATCATCATCATCGCATTAATCGTAATCATTGTGGAGTAAAACATCACCTAAAGACATCAACTTGTGATTTAATAATTGTGTGATGTGTTTCTCAGCTTTATAGCTGTCCCATCGAGGATTCTTCATATCATATAAATTCATTAATTTATATTCATTACTGTAAATGTCTATTAAACATGACACATCCCAGAAATGAGATATTACAGCTACGGCTACTGATACTTTTTATTCAAATTAAAACTTGTATATGAACTAATTAATTAACATGTAATCCACACATATACATTCACATGCTTAAACATAGTCAAATGCAATTTAGATACCTTGTAATTCGTTTAATGATGAAACTGAAT